CCCTGCACAATGGTATACCATAAAGTATAGGTGGATAAATATATGTATACACTATATTGCCAAACGTATTGGGCCGCCTGCCTTTACACGCACATGAACTTTAATGGCATGCCAGTCTTAGTCCGTAGGATTCTAAATTGAGTTGGCCCACCCTTTGCAGCTATAACGGCTTCAACTCTTCTGGGAAGGCGTCCACAAGGTTTAGGAGTGTGTCTATGGGAATGTTTGACCATTCTTCCAGAAGCGCATTTGTGAGGTCAGGTACTGATGTTGGACGAGAAGGCGGGGCTCGCAGTTTCCGCTCTAATTCATCCCAAAGGTGTTCTATCAGGTTGAGGTCAGGACTCTGTGCAGGCCAGTCAAGTTCCTCCAAGACAAACTCGCTCATCCATGTCTTTATGGACCTTGCTTTGTGCACTGGTGTGCAGTCATGTTGGAACAGGAAGGAGCCATCCCCAAACTGTTCCCACAAAGTTGGGAGCATGAAATTGTCCAAAATGTCTTGGTATGCTGATGCCTTAAGAGTTCCCTTCACTGGAACCAAGGGGCCAAGCCCAACCCCTGAAAAACACCCCACACCATAATCCCCCCTCCACCAAGCTTTACAATTGGCACAATGCAGTCAGGCAAGTACCGTTCTCCTGGCAACCACCAAACCTAGACACGTCCATCGGATTGCCAGACAGAGAAGCGTGATTCGTCACTCCAGAGAACATGTCTCCACTTCTCTAGAGTCCAGTGGCGGTGTGCTTTAAACCACGGCATCCGACGCTTTGCATTTGTAAGGCCCCTAGTTGCGGAGTGTAACATCAACTGATGCGCAAGTTCAGGGATAAGTTGATCCTTATAAATGGTTGCGTCAAACTGAACTCCAGGCGTTTCTCTCAATCTGAAACGGAGAGTTTGGATTTGCTATCATCAGCCACCATATTTTAACACTACGGGGAGTCACTTTGTCAGTAACATAAGTAAGGCAGTATATTTATATGCAGGAAATATTTATATGCAGGAAATATTTATATGCGGTAAATCCCAGCAATACGTTATAGAGCACCATGTGAGGGGAAAGTGCAGGCTTACCAGAGCAGTCTTCCAGCAACTTGCTTCTGAGATCGGACCTGTCTATCGGCGGCTGTCATCCCCCCACACCTGCTCCTCCTTACTACATCTCCCCACGTCCCTGTGCCGATCGTGGATGTGGATGGGCAGGAAATGTGAGGCGGGGAGGAGGTGCGGCATGTGGATGCGAGCGGATCTGGCAGCGGCGAACGTGAGGTGGGGAGGAGGTGCGGCGCACAGCATGTGGAGTTGTGAACAGGGCCAACTGATCAGAAGCCAATTAATCGATTATTGAAAAAGTTGACAACTTTTCAATAATCGATTATAATCGATTATGTCGATTAGTTGTTGCAGCCCTAGTGGAACCCAAGACGCCGAGATCGTTACAGCATTGCACTTGGTGATGTAAGGCTTGGATGCAGCTCCCCGGCCATGGAAACCTATTCCATGAACCTCTCTACGCCCTGTTGTTGTGCCAATCTGAAGGCCACATGAAGTTTGGAGGTCTGTAGCTATTGACTCTGCAGACTGTTGGCGACTTCTGCGCACTGCGTGCTTCAGCATGCGCTGACCCCGCTCTGCTGTTTTATGTGGCCTACCACTTTGTGGCTGAGTTGCTGTTGTTCCCAGTTGCTTCCACTTTGTTATAATATCACTAACAGTTGACCGTGAAATATTTAGTAGCAAGGAAATTTCACAGATGGACTTATTGCACAGGTGGCAACCTATCACGGTACCACGCTCGAATTCACTGAGCTCCTGAGAGCGACCCGTTCTTTCACAAATATTTGTAGAAGCGTCTGCATGTCTAGGTGTTTGATTTTATACACCTGTGGCCATGGAGGTGATTGGAACACCTGAATCCAATGATTTGGAGAGGTGCCCCCAATACTTTTAGCAATATAGTGTATATACAGATCTATATAGATCTATATAGATCTATATATATAAAACTGCCCAACCAAACCAATCTCATCTTTATCCGGTACCAATGAGGTTGTCAACCGTACAGAGAGAAGGCTGCCATGTTATGGACTGTTCCCATACTAAGGAAATCAATTCATTAAAAACTGTTGACATTGTTGTGTCAAGAAAAACAATTCCCTATGAGCCAAATCTCTGGAGCCCAGTAGTCTGATAAGTGCATGCATTATTTTGAACACTCTTTAAATGGCTGCTTCCTCTGAGTTTATGGGGGTTCATATATTTTGAACTGCTTTAAATACACTTGGCAAGGCAAGCTCCAAAGATAAACATGTCACTCTGCAATATGTTAGCCAATAAACACACTCCTGTAATTCTTGCACCACTATAACATACAGCACTTAGAAAATGACTTTAACAAAGTTTCAATGACAACAGAGACATTAATTCAGTATTGCACATTACAGAAATCTATGTAGGTTATTCCTTGGAACAAATAAATGTTACTTATGCCCTTAGTTTTATAACACCAGCAAGCATGTAATAGGTAATAAGACATGCTACCGGCTCTTTACCACCTCAAACAATGATATCACACACAATGAATCCCTTCTTACCCCATGGCTGCTAGCCTTAAAACATAAACATGGCTTCCAATCCAATTTATGGGATACGATTATCAGGAAAATAAGCCTGGATATGTGTATCTCCATTACTGCTCTGTCACCGCATACAACCGTTAACACTGACACTGCGCAATTCTTTATCAAGTTTAAAATTAGAATCTCTGAGTTATTATTCCTCAAGCAGAGCAGGGAGCTGCTGTACAAAACACAAGTGACAGTGACAGAAAAAAAGCAACAAACTGGGCCACCAGGGCTCATTCATGGTTCAGGTCCACAGTCAGTGCAGATCAGCTGCCCCCAGATACTGCAGAACCTCTTGTCGGGGAAACACGTGGAGAAGACATGACAGAACCTCTATTTAACTAATGATGACCCGTTCACTTCTAAATGTTACATACATAAAAGTAGCTGAATTCATATATACACAAACCTGCCCAAACTTTATATTTTAAAGTGGTTGAGATGAGTTTGATTCCGGACAGACTTATATGTGAATGGAGTTTGTAAGTCTTTGCTCCCAGTCTGATTTTATGTCCCACTTGCCGCCTAGGGCCTTGTATGGACAGCGGTGTGAGAACTGCACATAATGGGACAGGGAAGAACACACAAAAATCAATATATATAGATCCTCTGAGATACATTAGCATTGTATAGGTTAGATTTCTTTTCTGCCTAACCGAATAATCTGATTGCAAGGCATCAGGAGTTTACTTGAAGCGTATACTGTCAGATGTGTACACATTCAATGAGCCCGACACGAAGGGTCAGCACAGTTCAATGCAAGGCAGCACACAAATATTTGTATATGTTAGCCCTACAGATGTATTTTTGTTTTTATATATATATAGAAACATTTCCATAGGGTTGAGTTACTAAAGGCAAAAAACTGTTCACTTTGCAAGGGAATTTGCACATTGCAGGAAAAGTTTTCCTTAGCTCGGTAAATGCAAAGATTGTTGCACATGATTGGATGGTGGAAGTCAGCACAGCTTCACCTCATTCACTAAACTAAGGGCTAATTCTCACATCAATGTCCATACGAGGCCCGAGCCAACATGTGCTCCACGGTGAGGTACACAGACTCCATTCAAGTATTGCTCTGATGTTGATTGAACTCATCTGAGCCACTTAAAGTATGAATTTGTGCACATTGCAGTAAACTACAGAAACTTATAAAGTATGGAACTTTATTAACTCTTGTGAAGCTGACTTTTTAGAAGTAATTACATCAAGGCCATTGACATGTCTGCTTAACACGTTACAAGAGATTCTGCAGTAGCTAGGAGCATAATTTGCAGGGTTTTGTTTGGGCTGTGCATTCATCTCGTTATTCCCTGTAGAGTCTATAGGATACCTCAGCATTATATGGGTTTGATTTTTACTACATACAAATTGTATTATTATAAATAATAATACTAATAATAGTAGTTACATAATAATAATAATAGTCACCATATACAATATTAATGTAAAATAGTATTATTAATAGTAATAATAAAATAATAATATTAATAATAATGAATGCATAGCACCAATCAAAATAAAACAGAAGAGC